CTAGTTATACAGTCTGCTCCACCGACATGTGGCTGGGCGACTAGCTGAGTAACTGTCTAGCTGACGGACTTGTCAAAGGCAGCAGCAGCAGCAGCAGCAGCAGCGACAGCGGCAGGTGAACTCCTTGTTGTTGTCCTGTGACAACGACGACAGCTTGACAAACGAACAGCAACAGCGACAGCAACAATATCCAGTGTAAAAAATGTTGCCTTTTGTTATTGTGATTTGCGCTGATTTGTTGCCCGGGCGCTGCGTCATGCGCCTTCTTTTTTTCCGGCGCTCAGGTCTTTGGGTCAGCGCCATAGAGAAAGCCAGGCGAAGGGGCGGGGCAGTCAAAAAACTTTCCTTACACACACACACACACATATATATAGTGGCGGCATTTCCTTTTTATGTTTGTTATGCCCATGTCCTGCCATATGTCCTTTGTATCAATGCGGGCATATAACCTATTTGTGCTCCTATGCCTATGTGTGTGTGTGTGTGGGTGTGTGTTCTTTGATTATAACGTTTTGGATGTAGCTGATGTGCCTTTGGCTGCTGCTCCTTTTATTTGTGTTGTTGCCTCTCGTCCCTAAGCTGATTTACGTGGATTGTCTATGAGTGTGTGTGTGTGCTTGCGTTTTTTGCTCTGCACAAATGGGCGTATGAGCGATATTTTTTTGTGTTGTCCTTTTTTCGTGTGGCTGGGTCCCTCTTGTCTGGCTTTTGTGCAGTGTTTAGTTGCTGGCAACAGTTGATTGATTGATTGAACGTTTTGATAAGTGCTGTCACTGGGTTAGCTACGTTTTTTATTGACCTGTCTGTGGTTGAGTTTTTAGACCGCATCCATCCACACATCCACACACTTGCATTCTATCTATTCAAAGGACTCTAAGCCTTATCCAAACAAAATTGCTGCACAGCTAGCTTTTCTTTTGCAGGCTCGGGCAGCAGCACAAGTCAAACATAATTGACCACAAGCCAAGGCAAATGCTGGCCAAGCAGAACCCAATGGGATTTCGTTAAAATATCATACCAATCTGTACAGAGATTGCCAAATAATATGCTACCTTTCCATTGCCAAGCCTCAAAGGGTTCAATTTGAAGTCAAATGCCAAATGTTATATGAGATTTTGAAGAAGTGAAACCTGACCTGAGATAAGTCTTAAAAATACATTTTATTGTACTTGAAGTTGAGCTTATCAGACAATCGTATCTCAAAGCAATTTTCTGCTCATAAAACAGAACTGTTTTTTTATTTACTGTAGGATATATATTTTAGTTCTTTACTTGAATTATTTCCGCATCTAATGCTTCTAAGCTTCTTCTTCTCTGTACTGCCGTCCTTTCTGCTCTGCTTAACCTACTCACGATCCTCTGTTATTGGCCTACTACATTATTTATTCACAAGTTAGAGTCGATATAAAATTACAACTAACTTATAAAGTGACTGTCTTGACTGCAATTATTATTAATTTGTTTCCTAGATAAATTATATTATTGAGCTAAAGGTATGAACATCAATAGATATGTTAAAAAGAAAGACTTAATTCTTCTCATTAAATTGAAAAACTTCTACTTCCTCCCCAACTCGTACATCAAACACTTTATAGCCACACGGCATTAGTAAGATGGGTCTGAAAAGTTGTTCCCAATACTTTAGCTAACAACGCTGTGCATACTAGATTAATAAACAGGGCTTTGTATTGCTAAAGTTTTTAATAAACGTGGGCGTGGTGCAGTAGCTTAATAAGCGTTTAGCTGAGCAACTGCAATCGACAATTGAGACATTGCCTCAAGCCCTGCCCCACTTGAGGCACATACTCGAAGGCAAAGACACATGCATAGGAAGACAGAGAAAAGATAGTGAGTGAAGGAGTGAGTAAAAGAGAGAGAGAGAGAGAAAGAGAGAGGGGCATTACTTACACTCGGACTCGCTGGCCAAGTGGTGGCAGGCGGCGTGCACTTAAGTAAACTGCACGAGTGCCTGTTCGACGTCCGCAAGATTTGTGGGACAGGGTGGCAACGCTCACAGACTGCACTCGAAACGGATTTCCTTGTTATGCACAGAGAGAGCGAGCAGGATAGACAGAGAGTGAGAGAGAAAGAGAGAGAGAGTGAAGGGAGGATAGGGTGGAAAGCCAACTCTTGGGCATAAACTTGTACGCAAAAGTTTCATTCATGCACTTGATAGCACCTAATGCAGTCAAGGATTGAAATTGAAGCGGCCGTTGCTGCCAGTGGGCGTGTCTGCAATGGGCGGCTGGCGCTGGGCGCTGCCTGCGAAGCGGCGCAATTAGTACGCATCGATAGACACGCGCGTGCACTCGACACCAGCGAGCACAACAAAAGCGAGCAATCCAAGCAAAATGCTAATTAAGTGGATGGACAAAAGCTTTTGCTTTAAGAAGCTGACTCCGTCTGCTGCTCCTGCCTGCCACACGTGCCACACTTGCCACACTTGCCAGTCGCACCATGCCATACATGGCGCTGAAACAGTCATATATCATAGTCAGCTCCAACTGTGCTCAAAAACCAAGAGCATTATACAAAAGCGCAAAAAAATTATGTATACGAGCGGGTCAGCTGCTGCCCGTGCGACCATTACAAATGTGAGCATTTTGCAACACTGGTCGATTTTCTGGTACTTTCAGCAGCACGCATGCCGCAACTTTCGGCACAATTAATGCATGCAGAATTTGTTTAATTGACGACTCGCATGCCATAACTTATATGCCAGCACACACACACACACACACACACAAGCACACACAACTGTAGACACAAAAGTCTGAACTTTTGGTCAGAGTTGGGCAGAGAAAGGGTATGGGCAGAGGGTAACGAGGGCTTGTTAATTGCATTGCGTTTGACATGCATGAAATGTCTTGGGGCTGTTTGCCTTGTAATACCCTGTAAAAACGGCTTTTAATGCTTAGCAAAAAACTTCTTCTTATTTAGGAAATGCTGAGATACTTCATGTGTGTGTGAGAGAGAGAGAGAGAGGTTTTCTAAATTTCATGTAGATTCCTTCAATGAATGCTTAATGTTGAGAGTTATAAGTGTGATAGAAATAAAAATGAATCAAACAAGAGCAGTTTTCATACCCGACTTTAAAAATAAATGAGATCTATAGCTATTATCGACAGATCTAGTGACTTATTATCACACTTTTTCTTTTCATTAACCGTTAAAGTGTTAAGGCAGTGATAGTTGGTTGTATGTATGTACGAGTAGATATCGTTTACATATATTTTATATCGTTATATTTCTTTCTCTATATGTTGTAAGCTGGGTATATACTAGCTAATTCAATAGCCATTGCCTTTGGGGCTGCAGTTGCCTTTGGCTGGAACTCAACTTTCTGGCAGCATGCACTTGGCCAGGAGGCAGCGGACAGAGTCGTCGCTCCTTTGGGCCGTCTAAGCGAATTTGCCAGTTAACGTTAAAGTTTTTGTCGCCTGTGCGTGTCGCTGCAGTGAATAATAAGGCAGGGCAGCAGGAGAGGAGCAGAATAAAGTAATATAAAAAGTAAAAGGAAAAAACAAGAAGAGCAAAGTTTTTAACGGCGAAGCCATTTCATGCTCATAAGCATAACTTTGCAATTTAAGAGTTTTGGAATTTTGGGAATTCGCATGCAAAAAGCACAGCTCGAAGTGGAGCGTGAAAACGTGTGAGGGCAGCCGAGGCGAATAATTTGTTGTTAGCTCGAACTAAGTTCTGGCTTAAAGTTCGTTTGGCTGCGGCCAACTTTGCTTTACAATCAATTATGAGTGCAGGTTGAGTGGAGAGTATTGTTAACCTGTCCGGCACACATTTAAATGCAATTTAATGCAATTTATGGCCTGTTGCCAGGCTTTATAATGCGTTAGCCAGCGCCACAGCCACAGCCAGAGTCAGAGCCAGAACAACAGCCCTTATTAAAAGCGGAAACAATGCGCACTTCCGCCTCAATTGTGCAACTGCAACCTGCACATGTATGTAAATGTGTGTGTGTGTGTGTGCCATAGGACACGCAAATGAGCACTGGTATAATGTGCATGCATTATTATTCATGTTGTTGGCGCTGATAAAGTAAAACAAAAAAAAAGTGAAACAAAAACAGCCACACGAACAAGAACTACAACAACAACAAAACTTAACAATTTATAGCGCTCCCCAGCCCTCGACTACAGCGAGGCACGCCTCTTTTTGGCTTTATTCATAGACTAAGAGAGAAAGAGAGAGAGAGAGAGGGGGTGGAGAAGACAGGGGGGGGGGAAAGAAACCCACTTGGCCGCGTTTAAATTACCAGCCATAAATAAACAGGGTTCAATTAATATGGCCAAAGAAAACTGTGTGTGTAGTTGCCTTCTGCCAGCCTTAGTGACGCGTTGCGTATACGCAGCGTATTCCATGAAAAGAAATGCGAAAGGCGTTGGCTGGGGCAGGCAGACAGAAGAGTTGGCACTATTATCATAAGCAGCCACATCAGCAATAAACAGCGCAGAGCACAAGGCGTATGCGATATGAATTTGAGTTCAACTTGAAATAATGCTCTCCGAAGGATATATTCAGCTAATCTTATCTCTGTTGTTTCGGGTCGGCTTCGTAATAGTGTGCTTTACTTGCAAACTTTTTGATTGTAATGTGATGCAAAGTTGAACAAAATTATGTAATATATGGAAAATATTTCATAAAAATATATATATATATATATTTTTTTTAAGAAAATGTACTAGATTTTTGTTAAAGTAAAATCCAAGGAAAACGTTTAAGCAAGTGACGTGAAGCATGATTTATTAAAAGTTGACAGCGATGACTGATTGATGATGGATTAACTGACTCTCTGATTGATGGTAACAGCAAAATCTATCATAGAAAACTGAGCTCTGCACTGAACAAATTTTATATACACCAATATATTTACTCTTAACAAATAAAAAATCTATAGGGTATTATCTATGCCAAGCAACAGTACCTCAGCCTTAACACACATATCTACATATGTTTATACATTCAGTTTATATACAAAAACTTACCTCATTTACAAGCATGTGTGCGGATTATTGTTGGGGAAACTGCTTCGTCAGCTCGTAGCCAGATCTGAAATGGAAATAAGTGAAATATGACGTTAAGTATTTGATCTAGAAATGTGTCCAACGAGAATTCTATAGTTTTATGCCATACATATACACATCGCTGCGTCTCATTTTTCGGCTTTTTATTCATTTTATTCCATTTCGAATTAACATAAAAGTCGCATTTATCAAATTGCGGGGCAAAACTTTAGAAAATAAGGAAACCAAACACAAGCGAGAAGGGGTTGCCGTAGTTGAGCAGCAAGCCGAACGCCCTCTGTGCTGGCCACGCCCACTTGTAAGACACACTAAAGGAAACTAGGTAGGGAAGTAGGGAAAAGAAAAAATAAACTGAAACGTTGTCAAATGTTTGCTTTTATCAAAGGGGACAGGACACTTTTAGTTGGCATTTTGTGTTGTGATTTAGATGAAAATTCGCATTTTCTTTGGTTTTTCTTTTTCCCTACGAATTTGTACGATTCGGATTTGCTCGGCCGCACTCTGAATGGGTTCAAGGGATCAAAGTGCTGTTTAAGCAGCCGTTCTAAACTCATTTGACCATTTTAATGTCGTTTTAAAGACAACAAACTGACACAAAAAGGATGTGCCTGCAATACACACACACACCCAAACACACAGACACACACACACACACGTACATACGAACACAGCTTGGTAAAACTTGTCGTTTGATTTTGTGTGTTTGGGTTTTGTGGGGAGAGCCAAATATGCTGTCATCACGATTATCCTTAACGTCGTATGGCTGCCAATACCAGTTGTTTCCTCTTCCGTTATAGCAGCAGCAGCACACACACACACACATGACACTGCGGATGTGTAAGAAATTTGTAAAACGAGCCACAGCCCGAACGTAAGAGATAGCAGCTGGAGAGAGACAGACAGTGAGAGCGAGAGGGATAAAGAGAGAGAGAGAGAGAGAGAGAGAGAGAGAGAGAGAGAGCTAACGCTTGGCATAAGCCAAAAGCCAGTACAACAGTCAACTATAGTCTGACCTGCCACGCCTCTGGCTTCCTGCCTCGACTTGTTCTGGCCTGATTGCCAAAATGTGCGTTACTCTAGTTGCTGGAAAAAAATAAAAAAAGTAAGATGAACGGGGCTTCCTACTATGCCGTTACTCTACAGCTCTCCCCTTCATTTCACTTTGTTGTCTTGCTAATTTTTGGTATTTTTCTGCTGCTGTTGTTATTGGTATTTTGTCAGCCTCTGCTTCCCCTTCTTCTTCATTTGCGTATTTTTATTCACTTGGCGAACTTTTGCTTTGCCGTTTCATGCATAATTTTTTTTTCTTTTATTTCATTTCAGTTCACTTTTGAATTCTTTTCTTCTCATTTTTTTCTCGGTTGCAAATTGAAATTTAAAATTTATGCAAATTGTGCTGTCAACCCCAAAAGGGTTCTCATGATGGTGCAGGAAATGGTTATTGCCACACACACACACATACAGGAGAGGTAGAGAGAGAGAGAGAGAGAGAGAAAGAGAGAGAGCGAGAGAGACATTACAGTCCGATTTCGAGCTTCAATTTTGCTGTCATTTAATGGTGTTGGTAATTGTGTGAGTCCGTCTGTCTGTCCGCTTGGCCATCTGTCTGCCTGACTTGGCGCACAAATTAATCGAAATTAAAGTTTCAGCTCAGTTTGGCTGTGAACATTTTTTATGGCATACTTTGTGGCGTCGCAGCGCTAACAAGCCACGCCCAGCCGGCACGCATTAGCAACGTTGAGCATGAGCAGGAGAAGGAGGATGAGGAGGTCAGCCTTATCTAAAATCCTGGCACGCTATTCAAGTCCACAGCTCCAGTGACCAGACGAGCCATTCAGCGACTTAATCACAGCACAGCACGCAGCCACGCCCCTCGCGCTGCAGTCCATGTGTTACCGCAGCAGGGGAGGGGTGGGGCCGTTACTTCAGCGTCGCCGCGTGCAATTAATTAAAAACAAACAAATTTCAGAAATGCACGGCAGTAACGCGCCTCGAGCCTCGCGCCGCCTCTCCAGGAGCTGTCGATGAACAATGGGGGGGCAGACATCGGGTACAGTGGGTACAAGCCGTTCAGCGTGGACAGCATGGTCAAGCAGGACACTGACCAGAGCGCAGCTCTGCAGACAGCAGGCAGTCGCCAGGCAGGCGACAGGCGACAGGCGACAAAAGTTGCTGCTCTAAGCGTTTTTTAATGCAGCGCAGCGCACAGATTTCAGCCTCTGTACCTTCTTCTCCTCTCTTACTCTCTCTCTCTCTCTCTCTCTCTCTCTCACTCTTACTCTCCAGTGTCCTGTCTCTGGTAATTTCGTTTTATTATTTTGCAGTTTTCTGTGTCGCTACTCGACGCTGTGTGCTCTACTTTGTAAATATTAAATTATGAACAGAAAAAACCTGTATATAGCCAGAAGAAAAGGCACAAAAAAAAGGTCCCCAAAGGCGAGTGAGCGAGCCAGAGTATTTTTATATTATTATTATTTTTTGCTCTTTTTTCGGTTTTTTATTTTTATTTTTTTGGCCCACTGTCAACGGCAGCTGCAGCCAACAAAAGCAAAAGGCAGCCAAAGAAATCAGATAACTGTTATGGTTATGGACCATAATAACTGCAATCCAGGTGAGACCAAGAGACACTGAGACTGTGAGACACGGCCAGAGAGTCGGTGTCCTCTCTGCACAACTGCAGTAATCTGGGCCTCGAGCAGTGCTTAGGCGACAGCCGCAGCTGCATCTGCTGCGTATACGTAACGCGCACTACGTATACGTATATGTATACGTATCGTATACGTTATGTGCGCCATTTAAACCAGCAGGAACTACAGCCTGTGCCCATTTGCTTTAACAATTACGTGACATTCGCAGCAACTAGCCATATTTCTATCTTCCTCTCTACTCTTCACTCCTCTATCTTTGTCTCTTTCTATGTAGCCCCTTCTCTATTTTGGTTTCTGCACACACATTTGGCACACCGCATTTAACATTCGCGCAGCATGTGCTCCAAATGACCAAGGCTGAGGCGTGGTCACTGTTAGAGCGCTTTTATTATGGCCACAACCTCAACTACTTTGCGAACAATATGCGTTTTATTCTCAAGAAAACAACATGAAAGCGATAGAGGAATGAGAACCTAGCAATGCTATCTTTACATATTATATCTCACAAGAAAAAAGAAATGTATTTTGTTTACTTCATATTATTGTTAATGACACTTATCCATTCAGGAAATTAATAATCTATAAGGAAACTTTACTTTTCTATATGCTTAAATACTTTTAATTTGAGGCATAATACTATATATTTCCAATAAAATACACATTTGCGGTTTACTAGCACGGGATTTGATTTATAAGTTTCTTACAAGTTTTGCCCCAATGAATTTTTTAAAAGACTAGAGAATGGATGAATAATCTATAAAATCTAAGTTGAAAACTGGCAGTTCTTTAAATAGTTTTCCCATTTTTACAAATACTGCCAGCAATTTCGCTCAGTGTAGCACCACATGATACGCCACTGATGACCATCGAGCTAACTGCTTTAAGTGTGTCGCTAGTTCTCGACTCTTCGTGGCTCTGGCAACGACTCTGACAGTAATACGTAAAAAAAATGCACAAACCAAAAATGAAAAAAAAAAAAAAATTGTAAAAACGAAAATTAAAATTGAAAACGACAAAAAGTTGCGACCGCATCCGGAACAGGCCGCGACTGTTGGCCCCGTCTCTGGGTGCTGCTGCTGCTGCTGCTACTGCCGCTGTCGTTTGTCCTTTGTCGCATGCAATAAGTGCTAGTTGAGTGGCGGCACTTGAAAGCAGAGCCACACCAAGAACACACACACACACACGTACACTCACACACTGACTGCTGGTTATTCAATTGGCCAGCTGCATGTGTTTCTGGCGGCGCTTCGGATTACAGTTTTTGGCCCCCGTTGGTGTCGGTGTCGTTTGTTGGTCTGGCGACCTGACGCCGCCATTTCCGTTTCAGCCAGCACGGAAGTGGCAACGAGCTGCCCGTTCTCGTACCCCCAACCACCCTCTACTCCACATCGTCACTCCTCCAATGCTTCACCCTTCTCAGGCATCCAACAGTTGGCGCTTCGTGCGGATTTGCTGCGGCCATTGCATACAAAATGTGTTGCATACATTTGAGCGCTTTGCAGTAGGAAAATCGACGCGAATGAATGAAGTAAGGACCAAAGGAAAAAAAACCTCACTTAGAGGCCGAGCGCCATGGCAATCAAAATGGAAATGGGAAAACGACAGCCAAACACATACAGCCCAGCAATATTTTATTGTTGTTGTTGTATAATAAAAATAAATACAACACCAACTACAATGATCCACATCAGTCGCGTCGTTTCTATTTAAGAGCCCAAAACGGAAGAGAGTACGAGCGAAGTGAAACAGTGGCAAAAACACGTAGAATTATCAAGGGATTGAGTAATCAGCAGGTGAATGGAGGTAATTAATGATCAGACTTCAATCTTCTGTATTACAGCAGCTATTGAGATTTGCCGCTAAAGCAGATCAGACTTATCCGTTGCACATAGACAGCCCTATCCTGTCAGTGGTTTCGACCTTGTATATGCTTTGGTTCGATTGAGTAAAATTGATTAGTAAAATACGACTTAATACCCAATCATCACATATTTTAATTTTTTACTATTTTTCCTTTTTCTTTTAGGCAGTTTTGCCTTTATCGTTGAGGTATTTGAGATTAATGGCTTGACAATGATAAAACTTCCCTCTAAATTAGAAAATTTATGTAATGATCAAATTTAATTCAAATAATTATTTTGTTTATGAATTGTAGTATTGTCTAAGAAAGTCCTCTATAGATAGCAAAAGGTTTGGATTGATATAAATCAACAATTCATGCTTGAATTCAGCGCATATTAAACAGAAGAATGTCTCTTTAAATCGCCTTTCAGCCCTTTTGACCCACTGTGCTTGGCTCCACATTTACAGAGTCGCATATGCGGCCTACACCACTACAAGCAGACAATAACAAATGTAATGTCCTTCAGTCGCCGAA